TGGGGTGGAAGGAAAACTCCCGCTGCCGCTTCTTTGTAAGCTTGAGTTTTTCCATCTCTTTGTAGGTTTCAACAACAAACACTTAAGAGTCACCCAGGTTTGTAAAAGTACGTGACCCCACATAAACAGCGAAAAGGAACAAAGTCAGATAGGACCCTGGCGTCGGTGTTCATCACAAAATGTGTAACCCTCCGAAATCTCTCTGCATTCCCCGGAAGGTGCTCCAAGAGCCCTGGATGCCTTAAATCCGACTTGAAACTGCCTCGCCACCCACCAACCTCTTGTGACCAGACGCAGCCTCCTGTGCCTCTTCAGTGTCTACTGCTGTGCTGGCTTGGGGGGGCAGTTTAAGGAACTTGTAAGGAATTTTGATTGCACTCAAGTTAACCCGACTTGCTGGCTAGAAACTAATTCGCCTGCCACACTCCTTTGTAGCATTTAAGGTTCACAACATAAGTTCAGATGCATGGCTTGATTTAATTCCACATAAACTTCAAGATATGTAGTATTAGTACGATATTATTCTCATTTTCTTAATGAAGGACCAAAGTCACGTGACCTTAAAAGAACTGGTTTTCCTTGTCGAGACCCAGTGCTCTCTAGAGCAGATCGAACCGAATTGTGGTAGTTGATCTGGGCAGTGGGGGGGCGGGGGCGGGGGAGAGCCTCTGGGTCTTTCTCCCCAGAGGGAAAAAATTAAATTTCTGACTCTCCAAAACTCCTTATGTGAGAATTCCCCATTATGATAGAAACTTTATGGGCTGGATTTTTCAATTCCCAAATATCCAACTTCCAAATACTGTATTTTAACTTTATTTTGTAAAATACACTAGCAGGGCCCATACCCAGGCTGTCCTTCTTCTACCTCTCCCTCCCCCGCCACTACCACTGCTCTCTAGTCAAGTCATTGGACTCTATTCTGAGCTAAGATGAGACTGATGAACAAAACCTAATAGGTATATATTTTTATCTATCAAACTAATAGACTTTATTGCAAGAAAGAATGTTGATAAGAGTGCACAGAAACAGGTTCATTTATACACTGTTGGAGGAGGATAATTTGGTGTGGTTTTTCTAAAGGGTAGTTGGCAGTACATATAAAAAGAGAGATTTTTGAGTTGCAATCTCACTCTGTTACCCAGGCTGGAGTGCAGTGGCACAGTCACAGCCACCGCAACCTCGACCTGCTGGACTCAGGCGATCTTTCTGCCTCAGCCTTCCAAGTAGCTGAAACTACAGGCGTGCACTACCACAACCAGCTAGATTTTTGATTTATTGAAGAGACAAGGTCTCGCCAAGTTGCCCAGGCTGGTCTCCAACACCCAGGCTCGGGCAGTCCTCTCAACTCAGCCTTCCAAAGTACTGGGATTACAGACTGAAAAAGAGATTTTTTAAATGTGCATATTTCAGGCCCAACTACTGGTATCCCTTATTTTGCTTTGCTTTTTTTTTTTCCAGTTGAAGGTATGTGGCCACCTCGTGTCAAGCAAGTCTATCAGTGCCATTTTTCCAACGGCATGTGCTCACTTCCTAGCTCTCTGTCACATTTTTGTAATTCTCACAATATTTCCAACTTTTTCATTATTATTATAACTTTTATATGTATCTATGACCCGTGATTTTTGATGTTGTTCTTGCAACTGGCTTGGGGTGCCATGAGCCATGCCTACGTTAGGTGGCAAACTTAAGCGATGAGTATGCAACCTGTCTCCCTCTCCTGGGGCCTCCCTGAGACACAACAGTACCGAAATTAGGTCAATTAATAACCCTTCAATGACCTTGAGTGTTCAAGTGAAAGAAGAATTGCTCATCTCTCATTGTAAATCTAAAGTGAGAGATGATTCAGCTTCGTGAGGAAGGCACGTTGAAAGCTGAGGTGGCCCCAAACTAGGGCCTCTTGCACCAGTTAGCCAAGTTGCAAGTGCAAGGGGAACTTTCTGGAAGGAGCTGAAAAGGGCCACTCCAGGGAACACACAGATGATAAGAAAGCAAAACAAGCCTATTGCTGAGAGAGAGCGCGCGTGAGTGGCCTGGTTAGAGGATCTAACCATCCACGGGGTGCCCTTAAGCCAAACCCTAATCCAGAGCAAAGCTCTGACTCCCTTCAGTTCAGTGAAGGCTGAGCGGTGAGGCAGCAGCAGAGGTGGTTCATGAAGTTTAAGGAAGAATGTCGCCTGCGCCACAGAAAGCACAAGGTGAAGCAGCAAGTGCTAATGTGGCAGCCGCGGCAGGCCATCCAGAAGGTCTGACTGAGAGCACGGGCGAAGGTGGCTCTCCAAAACAATGGATGCTCGGTGCGGATTTCGTCTTCTAGAAAATGATGCCATCTGGGACTTTCATGGTTAGAGGCAAGAAGTCAGTGTCTCACTTCAGAGGACGGCCTGGTTCTCTTGTTCGGGCTGACGCAGCCAACGACGTAAGGTTGAAGCCCGTGCTCACTTCCCATTCTAAGGTACAAGGGCCTGAGAAACTGTGCCACCTCTGCTTTGCCTGTGCTCTCTCCATGGAACGGCAAAATCTGGATGGCAGCATGTTTGTTTACAGCAGGGCTCGCTGAGTGTTTCAAGCCCACTGCTGAGACCTGGTGCTCAGTAAAAAAGATTTCTTTCAAAATTTCACTGTTCATTGACAATATCACAATGAACAGTTACCCAAGAACTGTGGTGGCGATTCATGTTTTTGTGCCTGCCAACTCTGCAGCCCACGGATCAAGAAGCAATTTCAACTCTCAAGTCTCATGTAAGAAATTCATGAGGCCAGAACTGTCACAGACCCTGATTTCTCTGGTGGATCTGGGCAAAGTGAACTGATGACACAGATGACTACACGCCTGGGCTTTATGGTGTAGCGGAAACACTTGATACAGCTACCAGGCTGTGAGTATGTAGGCGATTGTAACACAATGGTAAGTGGTTGTATACCTATTCACATAGATGTGGCTGTGTTTATATATGTGCATATAGAAACATAAAAGGGTACAGTAAAAATATTGTATAAAAGATAAAAAAGGGCAACAACCCCTTCAGGTCCCCCCCCACTTTGGGAGCTTCTCTGTCCTCTCAATAAATCCTGCTTTCAAAACAAAAAAAAAAAGCCGGGCTCAGTGGCTCAGCCTGTAATCCCGCGCCTTTGGGAGGCTGAGGTGAGTGGATTGCCTGATCCCGCGGGTTCGAGACCCGCCTGGGTAGCGAGACCTCATCAATACAATAAATCAAAACACCAGCCGGTCGTGGTAGCACATGCCTGTAATTCCGGCTACTCGGAAGGCTGAGGCGGAAGGATCGCCGGACCCAAGCAGGTGAGACTGCACTCCAGTCTGGGCAACAGAGTGAGACTCCAACTCAAAAAAAAACAAAAACAAAAACAAACAAACAAAAAGATGTTTAAAAAAGGTACACTTGTATAGGGCACTTACTACAAATGGAGCTTGCAACACTGAAGTTGCTCTGGCTGACTCAGTGAGCGGTGAGTGCGTGCGAAAGCCTCAGCCGCCCAAAGCCCTGGCCTGATGGGCACAAGTCACGGGGCCTGGCCCATCCTTCTTCTTTGTGTCTAAATGGCCTGGGCAGGGGCCGGAGGCTGGCTTGAGCCCAGGAGTTCTACTCAGCCTGGAAAACATCTCTACAAAAAATAAAAAGTTAGCTAGGTGTGGTGGTGCACACCTGTAGTCCCAGCTTCTCCAGAAATTGGGACAGAAGGGTGGTCTGAGACCAGGAGGTAGAAGCTGCTGGGCGTCGTGATTGTGCCACTGCACTCCAGCCTGGACAACAAACAGAGTGAGAACCCAACTCAAAAAAGGAATTTTTAAAAAGTAAGTAATATTCCATTGTATGTATCTGTCAGATTGTGTTCATTCATTCATTCACCCACAGACATTTGGTTTGCTTCTACCTCTTGGCTACTGTGAATAGTGCCACTGGGAACACAGTTCTACAAGTATCTCTCAGAGACCTTGCTTTCAGTTTTTTTGGTGATACATTCAGAAATGGGATTGCCAGATCATATGGTACTTCTGTTTTAATTTTTATTGTTTTAGGAACCTTTATACTAACTATTTTTATAGTGGTTGTACCATTTTACAATCCCAGCAACAGTGCATGAGGGTTCCAGCTTTTCCACGCTTTTGCTAACACTTGTCATTTTCAGTTTTTGTTTGTTTTTTAAATAGTAGCTATCCTAATGGATGAGAAACGATATCTCATTGTGGTTCTAATTCGCGTTTCTCTGATAATTAGTGATGTTGAGCATCTTTTCATTTGCTTGTTGGCCGTTTGGATATCACCTCTGGAGAAATAGTACTGTTAACTTCAATATATTGTCACATCAGGAGGTCTGTATAAAAGGTAAAAGTTCAAGAGGAAATCTTTGAATTTAAGTTTTGGAGGACATAATTTTAAATTCTCAGTCAAGTTGGAATGTGGTTTTTCCTTATACTACGAGAGTTACAAAAATGTTACAAGTATGACATCTGGGTCAGAATGGGCCTTGGATATCATCTAGTCCAATCTCCCAACCCAACAAGAATGCAAGTAGCTTTCGTAGAGTAAATGTACATATATTTAATATATAAATAATTTATAAAAGCTACTAGGAGTTGGTATAAATGAAACATATTGGCCGGACTCGGTGGCTCAGCCTGTAATCCCAGAACTTTGGGAGGCCGAGGTGAGTGGATTGCGTGAGCCTGGGTTCGAGACCTGCCTGGGCAACTTGGCAAGACCTCATCTCCACTATAAATCAAAAATAGCTGGGCGTGGCAGTGCGTGCCTGTAGTTCCAGCTCCTTGGAAAGCTGAGGTGGAAGGATCGCCGGAGCTTAGCCGGTCAAGCCTGCGGTGGCCGGGAGCGGCCATTGCACTCCAGTCTGGGTGACAGAGTACGACTCCAACTCAAAAAAAAAAAAAAGAAACATATCTATGAAACTGAACATCCAGTACACTTGATTATAAACACTTCAAAAGAGATATGGAAAAAATGCAAATGTCTTCCAAAAGACATTAATGATTGTTCTTTATTTTATAAAAAGGATTAGAGGGATAACTATCAAAGTATTTGCAGTCATTATCTTTAGAAAGTATACACATAAATGGTTTTTCTTTTTTATCCTTAGTACTTACTAACTTTTATAGTCAAAAAATAGCAAGTACTCTTTAAAAATTATGTTAATTTGCTATCAAGAAGATTGGTTTTCCCAGAGTGTGGTTCACTCGGTCACCTGCATCAGAATTGCCTGGAGATATATTTAAAATACAGATTCCTTGGCCAAGTCTCAAGCTTCCTGAATCAGAATTTCTTGATGGTATGGCCCAAGAATTAGCATTTTTAGCAAACACCTCAGATGATTCTCATGCAAAGTAATAAGGTTGATAAAGAGTTCATTAGGAGTAAAAAAGATAAAGTGTCCCCTAGACCATATCCACCATCTCAGTATGTGATCTGGAATCTCTGCCCCTAATCTTCCAGTTCTGTGATGTAGGCGTGATCCCTTCTCCTGCACATCTGCATTTTCTTGATTTCCTAACAGGAGGGCTGTCTGAAGGATCTAACAGTTCTGCTGCGGAAGCCAGATGAAACAAGTGGTTGGAGTGACTTGGGATCATTTGATAGTGACCATCATGGACAGGGTGATCGCCTCTGTGCTGTCCTGCTAGTCCTCTAAGCGACCCGTAGAGTTTCGCCTGCAGAGAGTGGAGCTGGTAGTAATACCTGTTTTACCAGGTTATCATTGAAAAAAAAAAAGACCAGACGCTCAGATTAATCTGTGCCTTTAGCGGTATATTGAAGATCAGTCACAAAAACGAACTTAAACAATAATAATTAGTAACTAACATTTATTCATCCCTTATGTGCTAGATACTGTTCCAGGCACTTTACATTATTTAATTTTTATCCTCTCAGCAATCATGGGAGGTAGATACTATTATCCTCATTTTACAGACGAGGGAATTCAGGCTTCAAGAAGCTCGAGGCTCACAGACCCTAACAAAGACCCTAAAGTCACAAGTTTAAAAACAACCTTTAAGTAAAATTGGTATGAAACAGCCTCATTCATTTTAAGTTAGCACGAAATACGGTACATGATTTTGTGAAGCTTGAGGCTCACAGAGTTGGGACGGGATAGAGCCAAAATGTGAACCCAGAATCCCAGAATTTATCAACTTCGTGATACTGTCCCTTTCCAAAAACTTATTTTCTCACTGACTAAAGGTACATAATAATTTATGTCAGGCTGACTGGTCAACTAAGATTTTTTTTTAATCTCTAAGAATATCTTTTCTTCGTCAGTTTTTCGTGCGTAAAAATCACTCAGCTCAAAAAATGAAGGAAATCAGCATCTTCACATTTACCCCTGGAGAATAACGTATTGTGTATTTTAGGCAAGAATAAAAACAATGGTTCATCCAGAGGGCCATGTGATTCTTGAAAACAAGCAGTTTCTCTGGATCTTCCTATGGGCTGCATCCACGGATGTGAAAGGAGGAGAAGGACAAGGGAATCGCATCCCCCAGGTCTGATGTTGAAGACCACAAATGGAGGAGTGATGAGTAACTATCGGAGCGTACTTGGAAAACATTAGCCTACGCACACCATAAGGCAGGATGCGCCCAGGGAGCATCTCCCCCACCCTAGTCTCCTCCCAAAGGGCCCAGCACCGTGCCTGGCAGGCTCTCACTGCGCTCCACGGTTTCCTAGGAGTTGACATGTTCTTGCCACGTGATTCCGCTGTGTGTTGCTTCCCACCAGCGGGGGGAACTGGCTTTTTATCTGCTTGATCATGGAAGGACATGGGCTGACTTATACCTCCCCAGCCCCGAACAAATGCACCATTCTCAGAGGTTTTCTCAGGATTTCTCTGTAGTGAAGACACGTCTTGGCAAGAAGGGCAAGACTCTCTCTGTGTTTTTATCTTGACGGGCAGGGGAAAACACGTGGGTTTAAATCAGCCATGTGCGAGTTAGAAAACAAAGTTGGCCACTGCCTGTATATACTTTGTCAGTAAGCCCATGTCTTTCCATGATCAAGCAGATAAAAAGCCAGTTTGCCTGTTAATGTTTGTTAAAAAAGCAGTGAGGGGTTTTCCAGCTCTGTAATCCAAATATTTGATGAAAACACTCTTAACCTTACATGTGGCATGCTGGGAATCTTTGAGACTCAAGGAATGGGGCTTAGGTGCTGAGATGCTCTAAAGATTATTTTAAAATATTCTGTTATTGCTCATACAGTTCCCTCTTGTGACTGAAGTATTCAGTAGAAGAAACAAACATCTATTTAAGGCTTTTTTATCCTCTCTGAATCTACAGATCTTATTTTATTTTTACGAATCCATATCCAGAGTAAGATTTTATTTTTTTAATGGGCATTTATAAGTTTGTTGATCATGAATGCATTAATAACGATGTCCCCCAAGCAGAAGCTTTAAAAAACAATTTACTTCAGACAATTATAATGACCGTATAGTAAATTTTTAATATAATGTCTAATCTCAGGCAGAACTCAGTTAATGCAGACATGAAGTTGAATATATAAAATCAAAGACAGGGATCAAAATGTGTCATTGCAACAGTTAATAATTTACAATACCCCTAACTTTAGCAAGACCAAGATTTTCCCCATGCCCATGTTGTTTCCCGAATAGATATTAGGCACCACCAGAAGTCCAGTTAACCAACAAAGACCCTAAAGTCACAAATTTAAAAACAACCTTTAGTAAAATTGGTATGAAACAGCCTCATTCGTTTTAAGTTAGCATGAAATACGGTACATAATTTTGTTATTTAGGCTGTATGGACAAATTATGCATTCTCCAAAATTATATGTTTCCTTTTTGTCTTTCATTTACCTACAGCTGTTTTCTCGGTGTTCCCTTATAGCTAGCTTAGTGGCGTTTCTCTTGTGTCATTATTCTAGTTATTAGTGGTTGCATTTCCTGGAATCTCTTACTTACTAAACTTCAGGTAAATACAGTCTAAAGTAAAAAAGAATAGAGCAAAAGAGAACTTCTGAAAGGAGTTCTACGCAGTCAAGGAGCCAAAGAACCATCTAGTGCGTCAACATTCAGGAATCCTAGAGCCTTTCTCTTCTGCCTTGATGGACGCTGTCTCCTCCAAAGACTTCAGAGACTGCAGCCCCTGCGCTTCTTCCCACACTGCGGCGTCTCCTTCAGTTGGGTACTCCTTCATCATAGGCCACCTTTTCCTTTGCTCTTTGTTGTTGTTGTTGTTGTTGGTGGTTCCCCCAGAAGCCAGACCCTGAGGCAAGAATATCCCTGCAAGTAGCTTATTTGGGTGGCGATCCCAGGAAATGTGGGTAAGGGAAGCGAGACAAGGAGGGAAGGCAACCAACAAAGGGAAGGTTTTCAAGCATGTTAGTACCATGAGTAACAGGAGCTTAATCCCTCTGGAGAGTCTCGAGTACCAGGGTGGAACCCATGCCTCTGAGTTATTCTATCAGAGAAGCAAAGCCGCTATGTTACCCTTCATTAGCTGAAGGCTGCCCTTTGCTAAAGGCATCACATCTCCACGCACCTGCGCTCACAGTTGGCTCTCCAGCCACCAGAGAAAGCCATTGAGCAAGATGGGGCAGCTGCTGGCAGCGGGCGATGTCCAAGGAGACATGGCAGGGCACCAACCATATCGGCTACACTGCTATCTGAGATCCTAATCCAGTACACTCAGACCATGATCAAAAGCCAGGGAGCACGAAATAGGAAAGAAGATCAAAGGCCCTGGAGACGGACTGATTAGTTTCAGGACCTTTGTTCTTAACCTCTGCAAAGCTTCAGAGCTCCACAGAGAATTTTTGAGAGGTTTGAATAATGTCATTCATGTAAAAGTATCCAGTATTGCTACTGGCACATAGTACATATTCCCAACTACTAGTTAGTAATATTATTCACATTTGATCCCCTCACAGAGTCGTAAAACTGGACAGGACCTCTCTGCCCGGCCAGCTAGTCCTGCAGGGCCTCAGAACTCCAGTCTTGCCACAGGCTCCGTGTTTATACTGGCCTCAGTGGCAGAACTGACTAAACCACTGGGTCTCAGTTCAAGACGACGTGGCCAGATGGGACCCTGAATTGTCCCCAGTGTAGCCACGAGAGTGGGATCGATGTCCCGAGGAAGGAGTAGACTCTCGGGCAGGCCCCCTGGGTGCTCCAACTACCGTCTTCACACTCTTTTCCTGTCGAGCCACTCAGACATTCATCACTTTTTTCTATGTTTGTGAGTGACAGTAAGGGAGAAAAGAGCTAGTACTTATCTTTCTCCATAACAAGTTCCAACACAAAAACATAACTGCCCTTTCAATAAGCAAAGTATTTTTGGAATTTTTTAGTTCAAATGAAATTACATGGTTCACATGCTCAAGGCATTTTTTTCCAACTGTTTTTCATTCCCAGTCAGTGAAGACCAGACTTTTGGAAAACTCAAGCTTTCATTAAAGCTCAGCCAGGCAGGATATAAAAGCTGGGTGGATCCACTTAGATTTTGCTTTGTTGCCAAACATGTCTACTTTACTGACAGCAAGAACAGATTTTGGAAGAGGATGTAAGGGGCATGGCGAGTCCTGTGAGGCCACATAAAAATCACAACAAAAGAAAACCTGAAGAAGAAAATTCATCCAAGAGGCATAAAACGCTATTTTTCAATTTGTGATATAACATCTGAAATAAATATGTGGTAAATTTGTTTCAGTACAATATTGGCATTTTTCTAAATTGGCCACTGATCATCAGGATTACAAGTGAAATTTTAAAAAATGTTTAGCCACTAATATGCATAAGCTCTAACAAAAACGTTGCCTTGATAAACACCTTTCTCCCGAAGTGGCACGGGAAGGAGAATCTCCGCGTGGAGAGGAAGAGCTTGGTCTTGCGTCCTTCTGGGTGTGTCTTCCCTAGCCCGCGGCAAAGGACACTCTTCCCCCTCTTCACTGTTGGCCTCAGCTGAGGCAGTAAGCTAGTTTGATCCCAAGAATGCTGCCGAATAAACTCCCGGCGTTCCAGTCCCTCTCTCGGATGCTGCTTCCCTGAGAACCCAATCTGTGGCAGCGACCCATGGCCAAGGTACACATACCTTGGCACCTTAACAGGTCTGGATTCCAAAGAGTAAGAGCAAGAAAAAATCAAACCAGCCTGTGTGCAGAATTGTCTTTGTTCGGTTGTTCGGTATCAATTGGTAGTAACGATCACCGCATTGCAGGAGGAAGTTTGCCTCTCTTTCTTGAGGTTTCTGCATATTCATATAAAAATGAAACTCAATAAGTATAATATTCATAAAACTGTGGGTTATGGGGGCTTTTTTGGTAAACTATCTTATAGTCAAAATTGGTGAGTAAAAAGGAAAAGAAAAAGTGACTTTTAGTATTCTTGGTTAGAAACAAAAGAAGCCGTGATACATCTTTGTACAACACACTCCTGAAAAAGTTAAGTGTGGATCGTGTGTGTGTGTGTGTGTGTGTGTGTGTGTGTGTGTGTGTGTGTAGGCAAGGTCTCCCTCTGTCCCCCAGGCTGGAGTGCAGTGGCATGATCCCATCTCACTGCAGCCTCAGCCCTCTAGGCCCGGAAAGCCTCTTTCTCAGCCTCCCAAGTAGCTGGGACTACAGGCCCACGTCATCACATCTGACTAGTTTTTTTAATTTTTTGTAGAGACAGGGTCTCACTATGCTACCCAGGCTGGTCTCGAACTCCTGGGCTCAAGCGTTCCTCCTGTCTTGGCCTCCCAAAGTGCTGGGGTTGCAGGCATGACCCACTGCTCCCAGCCTGAATAATTTATTTGTATTACGTTATAGTTTAAAGTCAGTACTGGAGCTCATGATTTAAAGATTTGTATGACAAATAGTTTTGCAGAGAAAAAATTTGCAAATTTAAATCACTGCCTTCCATTTTGTGAAACTAGACTTTTCTCTCACTGAAATGATTAAAAGTATTTATTACTGAAAATCTAAAAACCACAGCAAGACACCTAACTTGCATTCAACTTTAATCAATTACTCTTGGTCCAATTTTGATTTTTGTTTTTGAGACAGGAACTTACTCCACCACCCAGGCTGGAGTACAGTGGCGTGATTCTGGCTCACCGCAACCCTGACCTATTGGGCTCAGGCGATCCTTCTGCCTAAGCCTCCTGAGTATCTGGGACCTCAGGTGCACACCACCATGCTCGGCTACTTTTTTGACTTTTTTGTAGAGATCTTGCTATGTTGCCCAGGCTTGTCCCAAACTCCTGGGCTCAAGCAGTCCTTTCACGCTGGCCTCCCAAAGTGCTGGGATCACAGGTGTGACCCACTATGCTCAGCCAATCCAAAGTTTTTAGATGGAGGAAAAAAATCACTTCAGATGACAAATTGCTGTAATGTTCTTGAGATGAACCAAACTCATTCTCAGTAGTAGAACTCTGTTGTATTACTATTGCTAAAAATACATGCATTGACAAAAACTTCTCATTCTCTAAGAGATTTTTCCTTCTAAGGCCACATTTGGTAATAGAGTTAACACTCATCCTGGGTGGAACACAGACGTGGAAGTTGGGAACGTACCTCTTGTCTTCTGCCAGAGTGGCCCCCCACCCCCCAGATTAGTAGTTACAGAGTAACCCTGGACGATGATTACCGAATTGGTACCCAATTTGGGTAGAGCTTCCAGAACGTAGCTCAAACCCAGCAATTCACATGTAATAAAATGAGCATTTGGATGCCGTGCTAAATTTAGGTAGGATTATATGATGATTCTGGGGGAAAATCTGTCTTAAACTTCCATTTGCACGGAAAGAGAAATGTCTTTTGGCAATA